AACATGACAGACAATTTGCAATCACACGAAACGTGTACAATTTTTAACGTTCCCATGAATGTACATCAGAATTATTTTACACTAAGAACGTGCGCATTTTGACTAAACAATCTCATAACTGATGGCGTTTGTCGATTGTTTCTAAGCCAATTTTTTTAAGTTTCCCGTCTGAAAATCGAGTAGTGTTCACCTCCATTTAAGCTCATAGGAATCAAAGCGTGACTAAACAGTTTTACGATAATTTACTTTCAGATGTGCGCTCTTACGATTCAGTATTAGTCCAATAACGTTATCATTAAAAGCCTGCTTTTTACTATACAGGATGTACTCTTCCATACATCCAGCCATCATTTATCAATTCACTCCATTCTTATGCACCTCTTCCACGCAACTCATTAACGACCAAGCAAATTATTTCATTGTCTAAAAAAACACAATATATTTTTGCGTAATATTCATCGTCGATATCCAGTATTAAATCCATAAGTATTTTTTGCATATTATTTTAAAATTCCGTACCTCTATATTAAAGATTGAATCTCTGTTTGTTTTATTTTCATCCCAAAACTCAATAACGTGAGCTCGATGACTCGATTGGAAATGAAATGAAATCGTTTTTCCGATGAATTTTCAATTAATATTTGTCCAGTCGTTTCAACTTGACTTTGAGCTTCAATGAACTCGCGTACCTTTTGCACATAATAATTTTATTTATGTAGAACTATTTTATAGTCTTTTATGCATTAAAATGAGAAGATAATAATACTCCTAAATATTTATAAAGATTGCAACTTTTACGTCTTGAATTAATTTCAACTCTCAATTATTCAGAAGCATTAAATTTTATTGTCTACATTAAAATTACACTGGTAGGGGAGTAAAGTTTTTACCGTTTATGACAGTAGATATGGCTGTTTGTTCCTTTCATATCTATAGTCTAAACAACCGTACAATTAAGTAGCTTATAAGTAAAAGGTATTACAAAACTGTTAGACATTTTTCTATGATCTACAAATTTTCGTAGACCCTCTACGAATGTTCGAGAGCTTTCTTAAGCAAACATACGAGTACTGCAGATTATTGAGGTAAACATCGAGTAATATTATAATATTGTTATGAATATTGACAAGGTGATGAGAATAAGTTTTACGAGTTTGTTTGTGTTGGGGTGGTGCTAGGGGGTCGTAAACGATCGGTTTACGATGACCAACCCTCGCCACCCTCTCGTCTTAACGCTAAGTAACTTGGTAAGCAAACATTATGATTTTAGATGGATATGACCTCATTGAAGCATATACATGTACAATATTTAAATTTAAGCTGTCAATAACAGGAGCGTCGGTGGCTCTAGGGTTAAATACTTGCTTGTAATCTACATATCTCGTGGTCGATTATGGTCATGTAGTTATAAATTTTTAATTTTCATATATACATAATTTGTCTGTCATTCTTACTGTGAATGAAAAAATCGTGATGCAACCCGCACATATCTGCGAATAAATTCAAAGATAAGCGTGAAGTTAACCCGCAGTTTTTATCTACAATATCATAAAGTAGATAGAACTATATTTCTTTGCTGATACGTAAAATACGCAATAGAAATAAAGTACAATAAGTAAATAAAACTTAATGCGTTCGGACGTGTTCATAAGAACACCAAATATAACATTAGTTGTCGCATCACGTATTCCATTCAGGGGATAATAATTTCACGAAGGCAGTATTATGTATCGGTGTTGACAATATATAACATCAGACGGGGGAGGGACGCGGCGGGGGAGGGGAAACCCTCTCTAAGTAATGGCAATAAAACTGTTATTGCGGAGGGTCCAGTGCGAGATTTTTATTGATAACTTAGGGAAATTTTAAAAATCATTACTGTCATTTAAACTTATAGCAATTAGACAAATGAGATATTTTGATATCTATTATTGAATAAATATTAACAATTATGATTAAGGCTTTTATTCAATTTATTTAATTTATGTACTTAAAATAGTTTAAATTGGACTATCTTGTTCGTATAATACTCATAAAAGTTACTATTTTCAGACAACAAAAAGTTAAACTCACCATCAACACATCTCAAAAGCAGACGCAAGTAAATTTAGTTAAAACGTTTTGTAAGGCGGTAATGAAATCAGTGTGACTTCAAGTTGACACGAAGTTATGTCCCGCCCCGGCTCTAGTCTAGGTTAGCAATTCAATTAGGCCCGTGGAAGCCTTATTAGTGCTACGCGGCGCTACTAATGGAATAGAGCCTCCGCTACGCCGCAACTAACTTAAATAACGCGTGAACTCACCTCGAGTTATACTAACTTAACACGACAAGAATATGATGAGTGTGTTATTTATATTACAAAAGTTAAGAGAAATGGAAAATTATTCATAGAAAATCTACTCGATAAAATACTTGAGTTCCAAAGCAGTTTTTTCTCAATTTTCAGTTCAAAAAGAACTTGTTTTAATTTAATTTTTTATAGAAAATTTAATCAAACACTTTAATTCAATCGGTGTAACCAATATTGTAGAAAATACCATAATTTAAAACACCCTCGTACCGTAATATAAAATGCTAAATACAAAAAACTCGAGCTTTCTTACTTTATATTTTGTCTACTCTTTTAAATATCACAAGAATTTATTAACATACTGTATAAAGTAAATACCAAACTCGATCATTATTTAAATCCGCTCATGAATATTCAGGCGCCGTTCGGTTATTTCAAATTAGGGATGTCACTGTATCGGATATCGGATAACGGTTATCCGAATTCACGTCACGTTATGCATGTTATTTTAAAATATCCCTATTATGATAACAAACTCGTCGTCGCATTAAAAAAAAGAATGACGATTTCATGAAAACGGACAAATAATTTAGATGGATGCATGTTCATTAGAATGTTAATCCATAACTGGCCATCGGATCTCGATGAAAGTTATCATAGATGTATTACAATCTGGAAGAACACATAGGCTACTTAGTAAGTTTTTTAATCTGTCCGTACAAAATCTCACTACGTCTAAAAACGAAAATTGCATTAAGTTTGATATCCGGTACTCTTACACACAACCCTATTCCTAATCAAAAAAGCGAAATACTCTACGAAGAGAGCTGTGAGTTTATTGAAAAGCGAGATGGAAAATTATCTTCCTGTCAGAGGCACATCGGAGGAATGACGATCAATTAATTGGAGGGGACGCGACCGCCTTTTTCTTAATAGGATAGGTTATTGAGGAGGTTGGTATAATAAATTCAATTGCCAGACACGCTCGCGTGGAATTCGTTTAATCTAGCCGCGGCTGGGGATAGGGGGTAGACGGTGTCGCCCCCTGTTGGAAGCACTACCGACACCATGATTTAAAAGTACACTAGTTTATGTAAAACATTAAAAATCAAATCAATCATTTGTTTTTTTTAAATGCATTTAAATAAATTACTCTCTTAAATTAAACACTTATGTACTATTTTTAAAGTATCGTTAAGTAATAAAAGATATTAATTAACGTTTCGTGTTAGATTGCATATTGAAGTCTTCAATTCCGAAGATCGCCAACAATTCTGAACATTTTTCAAGTACACTCGCCGTCAAAACGAAGTTGTAAAACTGATACTGATCCGCATAGTATCGAAAATATCTGCATATCAACGATTCAATTTGAGGTTATACAAAACTAGAAATAGTCAAGAGATTTGTACTAAAAAGAGAAACATAATTATTGGAATACATTGTTTACTAAAAAAGGAATGAATACAGTTTCAAAAAGTCTACACTTAACGGTATGTTAAAGATTTTATTATCTAGACTTTTGCAATAAACAATTTCCTAAAGTAATTAATTCAATTAAGAAATCAATTAAAGTGTTAAGTGACTTAAAATTCTACAGAAAAAAAACTGCTCTACATTTCAATTTCCACATCAGTGGTCAACAATCTGAATAGGAAATAAGCCTTTCCATTTAAAAAGCAAATAGGAAAAGAGGTTGGGATGTATCGGCGTTCGTCCAACGTCACATGAAGAATGCTCAGAGTGACGTGTAATGGGTTTTTGAACAGCGCCCTACGCCATGTTGGAATAGTCGGCCGGAGTTAGTGTGAACCGGTTTGAACCAGTGTGTTCCGGTTTAGGGCAGACTATTTAATTTCGAATTTCATTAAGGTTTTACGATTATAGTATATGGCTTTATTTCGATTAATATAATACTTTATTTTTAAACAATAGCAAACATTTGTAAAGTAGTTTAAAATGTTGTTAAAACCTACCTTGTAGTTACTAAATCGTTACAAAATATTTTCAATACAGGCTCGTTTACATGCTTTGTACGTTTTTTGTGCCGAATTTTCCAGTTCAACTTTTCCCGTTCATTTAAAAAATGCGCATTTTTATTCTGTGCGGATGCGGACAATATTCAACAACGCGTTACTGTCATCGAAAAAAAGTTACCACAAAAAAAGTCTTTCACGCTCGAATTGCGGCTGAAAAAACAGTTTTCGTCATTTAAGAGTGTTTGTTACATTTTGTGAGTGATTGATTGAGTAAATATCGTGTTTCAAAATTTTATCGCTTTGTAAAACCTCGCCCGGGGCGCTTACATTACAACCAATGCATGAAAGAGGCCTTAAGCGAAGAGATTCAAAAATATAGAGGTGGCACAGTTGACACTACACTATAGATATTGATAAATCCTCAAAACATATCAATATATTTTATTGTATTTGAAATTAATAGCCAATAGATGTCATTAAATAATATTTAAATGTTATGTTTTATTTTGAAACACTATTTAAGTTTTCTTAATAACAAAGGATGGAGCTTATTATAATTTTATATAAAATGATTATGACAGTAATAAAGGGTCACCAGATGGCAGTAAACTTCACAACTGATTTAGTACCTTTCAGAGATAGTAACGGAAAAAAATGTTTACTGCCTAGTCTATATATTTTTTAATGTCTTAGACAACTCATCGTATTAAATTTTGTTGTCTTTCTGTAGGTGCGGTGGGTGGTGATGGTGATGACAGCGATGATAAGGAGAAGGAAGAAGAAGCGGAACGTGAGCGGCAGGAGGCCATCCGTGAAGCTGAGGAGCGCCGTAAGGAGAAGCACCGCAAGATGGAGGAGGAGCGCGAGAAGATGAGGCAGGAGATCAGGGATAAGGTAAGAGACACACTAGATACATTTACTCACGTTTGTGAACCAGAGAAGCACCAGACAAGAACTGTAATGCAGAAGACGAGCTTATACTTCTATACTAATATAACAAAGCGTAAACACACACTACTTCGTGGCATAAGATGATTCTTTAGCAAAAAGCCCTATAATTACGTCCCGTTTTAGGCCATACATTTTCAGGCTATCAAACTTAGGGAGTAAATAAATTAGAAAAATCTGCCAATATTAAGGAAACAAGGTTATTATGGTAACAGTAATTTTGACATTTGTCATTGAGAATTTGACAAATGTAAACAATAATTTTTTTTAACAATTTCATGCGGTTGCAGCCACAGGAAACAGCTAGTAGTATAAATAGTGTCATGAAGAATTAGATTTGACGAAGATGGGGATAGAAAGGGGATTAAATTTGTCTGCCAATCCAGTTTTTAATGTCTTTTCGCTGACCACAGGCGGGTTTCAATAGCAATTTAATCGTAATTTAATTTTGCTTTGAGTTAAAACGATTTAGGTTCATTGTTATTCATAAGTCCTCCCGCAGACCACGTAATTGTAAAGGGGCTGTCACACGAGAGGCGCTGTGACAATTAGTTCGCCGGGTCAAGCGCCCTCTGTCGGCCGCGGCTAATTTGTTCGTCCGTTGTCGAGTGGCTTCCGAATGCATGGCCACTCGTGTGCACTATGCTTTATAATTGAACGACAATTTACTCGATCATCGATTTTTATCGTGTGAAGTGTGTTTTTAACTGATTTCTCTCTTTACACCTACGTACTAGAATGTAATGTTTACGATTTCTTAATTTTTTCGTAGTTTTCTGTATGTTTTAAAGATTTTATAGCATTGACCAAGTTACAAAATTTAATCTAACATTTTTTGACTAAACATTTTTACTTGCACTTAAAAATATTTTAAAGCGTTGTAGATGTGTGTTTGTTTCTCGTTTATAAAGTTAAAACGTAGTCAGATAATCAGTGCCCTATTACTAAAAAAATGCTAAACGGGAAAGCCGATTTTATATCCTAAAGACTTCGGTCCAGTTTTTATATCCTAAAGAGTTAACATTTGCAATTGAAAACATTTAATCTCTAGTCTAAATATTAACGTTATTAAGCGGCTAATTTACATTCAGCTCCTTCATTCTCAATGTTTCTTTCAGTACGGAAATTTAAAATGCCACCTGAATTCCTTACCTTTTTTTCTCTGCCGCAAAAATTCAAAACGCTCGTCGATTTTCTCATTCAAGATATTAGCGACTCAAAGGTATTTCAAAGAGGATTAAGATTTTTAATTAAAAAATAAGTGAAATGTTCCCCGAGAGGCTTTATTTCATTAATACGCGGTACGGATTAGTGCTGTGACACACCGAAGGTATTTTACAGTTGATTTCCATGCTAAAAACTTCGTACAATTTTTTTAAACTTATCTTTTCAAACAAAATGAATAGAAATATGAATGTTTAATAGTTATATGATAGAAGATAAAATAAGAAGCATGACTTTAAAAACACCTTTAGAGCTTAATTGGGAGAACTTTAATGTTTTAAAAAAAATCTTTGCAAATTTCAACTACGTGTTAGCACGTATTTTGATTTATTTTTACGAAAATGTTCGTCTAAGATTTACATTTCAGAATATTGTGACAATGTAGCACTACACTAGTCTAGTTTCGTAATACGCAGGTCAATTTTAATTCTCTCTAAAGGAATTAGCGAGATCGCACAAATCCCTGACGTGAACGGAGAGCGGACGTAATTTAAAAAAGGAAAAAAGAAAAATATCTTTTAATTCACTTTCAGTATTCAACATTTATGTTACCGCTTGCGGCAGTTACACGACCTACTTCGCTTCTATCTTTTAAACCTTTTTTGTACTTAATTGCAAACACTTTTCTTTTAACAAACGTACAAGAATATTTTACACTGCTTGGTTTCCCAGCTCTCTCTAACCATTCCTTAGTATTATTGGTTCCATAACTTGTGATGATGATGAAATGCGTTTGCGAAATACGTACCTTGAAACATAGAGAAAAGTAACGTAACTTTTACTAAGTTGTTGTTTAACGTAACAATAATGAATCGCTAGGTAACAAATTAAGTGGGAACTTCAGAAACCCAGCATAAATATAGTCAGTAAAGTGACATGTTCAACGACGTTAAAATAAATTTTTACTCAAGTATTTCTTTAAGTGAAAATATTGACTGATTATTATTCCCAGTTCACTAATTGACGGTTTTAGTATCGAATATTTTAAAAGCAAGCGAGCACAACCAATAAAATTTTGAGCCAGCCATGCTTGTTTCTTTTGTAATAAATTTTTTGGTGCGCTTCTAAAAAATTCGGTTATGAAATTCAACGTTATTCCTTTTTCGAAAATCAAATATTGAGTTATCTACATACGTAGTTGATATAAATAGTGGGCGTAAGCCTTTGACTAAACTATCGCACAACTGTTGTGCGATTGTCGATTGTTTCGCAGCTCAACTGTTTAGCACAACTAATAATCGAGTAGTGCGTACCTTCATATAAGCTCATAGGAATCAAAGCGTGGCTAAACAGTGTTTTTAAATAAAATTCTTATATTTTCTCCGTAAAATAGTTATTCTTTGCATCATAAGTTATGATAGTTATTAGATTATAACTGAGATAAACATAGGAAACATTCAAATGCAATTAAACTTAGTAGATAACATATCTTGGCAACTGTAACAAAATTTAGAACACCGCACAGTTTCGTGTTTGGAACTGAAATGTGTTTATGCAAATTGCTATTAGATTTAGGTTTCAAATTCACAAAGGCTGGACTCATACTATACATGTGTTTCATTTATAACTAGCTATGACCCACAACTCCATCCCCGTGAAATTAAAAACAATAAAACAAAAGAAAACATCCTATGTGATCTTCCCGACTATCCTTTAAATGTATTCCAAATTTCATAGAATTCTGTTCAGAAGTAGATGCTACAAATTCTAACAAACATCCATCCATCTAAACTTTAGCATTTACCAGACACTATTATAATCTCCGACTAAATATGCAAAACGAAAGTCTGTCAGTATTGTCTAAAAACTGCGGTATTTTCTGATTATCTGATTTTCGCGATTTTGTCACTGATGCGGTTGGTGGCGGTAAAGTTTTCACACTAATAATAGTGATAGATTTGACGGTAATTAACATCAAATGTACACCGAAAGTTGTGGGCAACATTTGAAACGAGCAGTTAGCCTATAACTAGGCTATTCTTCAAGTAACTAGCGTTTAGCTTAAGAGCATTTAATGTGCAGTCAAAAAGTACTTTCTTTGTACACCTTTGGTTGTACTGACCTACATCCAAGTAAGCCTTGCGCTGCAAGATTTTAATCACAAAGGATTTTAATTGAAACTCGTACTGAATGATGCTGTTGACATTATTCTTGAATTCACTTAAAAGCTTAATAACTTAATGAATATTAAACAGCTTTTATTCCCACATTTAACCATTCGTTAGTATTATTGGTTCGATAACTTCATGAATTGCGTTTCCGAAATACGTTACTTGAGTATTACTCCGTAGAAACTTCACTAGGTAACGTTAAAATAAATGAAAACTACTGAAACTCAGCATTAGTTAAAGCTTTTTTTAAATTACTGCGTTAGCGACGTTTTGTTTACAGCGACCCAAAGAGGGTCTTGGCCTCCGACACGACAGAGCGCCTACGTCTTTTTTTTTTAAATTGATTATTTTTTATCTTCCAAATTCTAATATACTTTAAGTTAGTAGTGAAGTCACTAAGTTAAGCAAAGTGTAGGGGAAAGCAAAATTATGTAAAAGCCTGTAATTTCAAATCAAGTATTTGCTCTTTGGCCGACAAATTCTACGTGAAAATGGCGGCAAATTACCGTCTAAACTAGCTGCATGAAAGATAATTTAGATAGAAGCAAATAACTAGAATTCAAACTTACTTAGAAGGTAAATACTTGTATATTAATATTACTTTTTAGATTCATTTTTAGGTTATATTTAATAGTCTTAAATAAACAGTTAAAATATAATATTTCTTCTATAACATAACCAACTATATAATCCTAACTGCATGTTTTGCTGAATCAAATCAATATTCTACTCAAATAACCAATAAATGACACCTCTAAATTAATCGAAAATTTTACCTCGTTCAATATCTAGTAGCCCTTATAGCGCTAGTTAATAAATTAAAATGTCTATGAACGTAAATTAGCAGTTGCCAAGTTTCATCATCATCACCATTAGAGCCATTACACCGCCTCGCTCCGGCGAAGCTAATAAAATTTGTACAGCAAATGGGTCCTCAAAGCCTTACACAGGCTCTACGCCACTGCATAGTTACGCCCGTCAACGGTGAAACTCAATTTTAATATCAGCGCCATCTATTTTAAATTTAAGTAAACTTAAATGAACTAAGAATATTTTTAATTTCATAGTATACTCGTGGAATGGTGTTTTAGTTACTTTTAAATGTAAGTAAGAAAATATTGCTTTTAAAAAGAAATATTCGAAACTTTACTAACAAAAATACTGTAATTTTAAAATCAGACACTTTTCCGCAAAAAACTACTTACTTAAAAAGCATCATCTAAAACTTTAATTACTTAAAATACTGTAATATCGAAAAGACCAGTAAAAAATCGTAAATACAAGCAAAATAAAAAGGAATTAAAAACTCCACGATTAGTTTTTCGAAACACGAAAGTCACGAAATAGGTTAACAGCCCGAGCCGCTTTAAAAAACTTCACTTCGCAACACCCTCATTTGAATTTGTAAATAGGAAGTTTTAAAAGCGATTTACATATTTTAAGCTCTTATTCACATATGTAACTCAATTACCCCAGTTTGTATATTTTTGGTAACGAAACTAGGAACAAGCGCTTAGATTAAAAATTCGTCAGTTAAACACTACATTCATACCCATTTCTACCACTAATTACTGTTTTCTGTCTTAAAACAATTTCTTTTATCTATTTGTT